AAAAGGTTGTGGCAGCGGGAAACGACAAGCTTCGAAGGAGAACGAAAACCAACAAAACAACATAAGACGAATTGGCGCGGCATTTATTTCACGATCTTGAATATTTTTTAATTTTTAAAAATATTTTTCATAGAAAGACCACAACCCAATCTACAGACCTATCAATTTTCAGAGTTGTGGAGTCATCCTTCTGAGCGCGGAAAATCGCGGAAGTTGGGGTACTTTTCCCGTTGGCCGTCACATGATACAACAACAAAAGACCCCAAAAAATGAATATAGGACGAATTGGCGCGGTGTTTATTTCACGATCTTAAATATTTTTTTAATTTTTTAAAATATTTTTTGTAGAAAGATCACGACCCAGTCTACAGGCCTATCAATTTTCAGAGTTGTGGAAGTTGGGGTACGTTTCTCGTTGGCCAACACGTGCAAGAATGACAAAAATAGACAGTGCAACTAAACGGCGCGGCATTTATTTCACCGTCTATTTTTTTTTTTATTTTTTTTTTTTGATATTTTTCCTAGAAAGATCACAACCTAATCTACAGGATCTCAAATTTTCAGAGTTTTTCCTCAATTCGTCTGGGCACGAAAAATCGCCAGATTTGGTGCTTGAAAATTGCGGGACTCGACCCACCTGCCACATTGTGCAACGTTAGGGTTTGGACACACAGGCACATTCTGACCTGTCAGCTGCCTGACGTCGGATACAATTCATAAAGACGCAGTCCCCAAAACCACACAGGGACCCAATCCACCTGTGTGGTTAGGGAAGTTGTGTATTTCAAATATGTGCGTGGGTTCAAACCCCAACAACAACGATTGATAGCAAACTTCAAAATATTAATGTGTGTGTGTGTGTGTGTGTGTGCGTGCGTGCGTGTGTGTGTGTGCGTTGGGGTGGGGGTCGGGGTGGGTGGAACGCACCCGCTGTGTGGAGGGCGGGGGTGGGGGTTTGAGGGTGGAGGTGGGTCACTGCGTGCGACGCTTTTGTCGACGACGACGCCGGAGAAACTTGACGCCAAAACGATGCACAAAATGACACTTGCGAAAAAACAAAAAGATAGCGCCAAAATGACGAAAACGAATAAAGAAAAAAGAAAGAAAATGGAAGAAAGAAAAGAAAAAAAGAGAAACGTGTCCGGAGGGAAAAAAAAAGGGAAAAAACACAAAACGACACTTTCTTGCTATCGACGGCGGGCGCTTCGAGATATTCCCTCGCATCGACGCCCGCTGCCCGCCGCCGGGCCTTCGAGATATTCCCTCGCATCGACGCCCACCGCCGCTCCGCCCCTTGGGCGCGCTCTCTCGTTTTCTAGCGCGCTGTGAACATTTCGGTACGCGCGCCACGCTGCCCCCCCCCCCGCCCTCGATCGCCTCCATCCGCCGGCCCGCAGCAAAACTTTACCCCCAAGTCCGGCGCGGAGCGGACCATCAACCTCCCCCCGCGGCCAATGCTGCTTAAGGGGTAGGATAATAATAATAGTAATAATAATAATGATAATAATAACAATAACAGCAAAAAAAGGAAAGAAGAAAAATCATAACGCCGCTGCGATCAGACGTCACTAGATCGTCCCAGACTAAAAGCGAGGGTCCAGGTCTGCGTGCGGATCTGACGCTTGACTTATCCCCCTTTTCCTTTTCTTTCTTTTTCTTTTACCCTTTCTTTTGCTTTACTGTAACAGCGAGCCTACGCACCTAACTCGTAACCCGGTTAGAGGGCACTCGGCGCTCAGTAGAAAAGACTGCGCCGGTCCCTCCACCTTCGTGTCCCTGGGCGAGCCCGGCGGCTACCACGACCATAGGCCGGTAGTGCTCTGCTGTATAGCAGGGCACCGAGCCTGCGTGGACCAATGGAAAGTCCAGTGGCGCACCCCCACCCTTTTGCTAAGGTGCGCGCCAACTGGACTGGTCCATAACAGGGCAGCCCAGGTGTACCAAAAGAACCACAGGTTTGGAAACAGCCAGACGAGCCACAAACTTCTGAGCAGGGCGCTGGTATCGAGCAGGAGCCTGGCACACAGAGGAGGGTCGGGACACCGCGCCCTCCGACAACGAGCGCCAATAAACTCGACAGGTGGACGATCCTCACGTCGTGGCAACTTCCCAGATATCCGACGAACACATCCAGCACGCGCAAGTTCAGATCGACGACGACCTGCGCCTGGACGGAGAAACAGGGCAATTTGTTGGCTTGTTGATGAAGATGTGGGTGCAGTCGATGCAGCCATGGCAGTTAGGGAAACCCTTGTCAGCGAAAGCACGCAAGACGACCGCCTTCTGCAGCCCGGTCGGCCACGATATCTTGTCGGGGTACGCGCTCAGCAACGCGGCAGTTACATCCCGCATAACGCGCAACCCTGAAGATCTGCCAATGTCGAAGCTGCATGTCCCTATCTCATACGTCTCCCCCGACACCCACCTGTACAAAGCGTACACGACAATGTGGTCAGGCTGGGGGGGCTCCCTATAGAAAGCGACACGCCGTTGAAGGAAGGGAGACAGAGCTTCCGTGATCTCTCGGAACACACGTGGCGACACGCGCAGCTTGTCTTTGAAGTAGTCGTCCGTCGCGTCGTCACCTTGCTGCAGATCCTCCCATGTCCCCCCTGTCTGTCACTTCATCCACCACCTGGGCGTTGCTTTGGGAAATGCTCCACACCCCATGACGTGGCACACCTGCAGCACGACATCGCAAATGGCACCAGTGTCCTCTACGTCCACATTCATGGACTGCAGCATCCTCTTCTGCCATGCGCGAATCGTCGCTCTCATCCTCCCCTCGGTCCTCTGCAATTGACACCGAAAGAGGATGGCGTTCACGGCCGCTGCCACCGCCGTCCTCTCCGCCTTGCTCAGTGTGTCACGACCCACCTCCCTGTTCATGTCCATTGCCGAAACAGGTACTGTCGACGTGGGCGTCGCCAAGTACCGAAGACTCCACGTTGATGCCGCGAGTGACAACCGGAGCGCACGGCGTACACGTCGACGACGAACGTGCGCCTGCGAAGACGACAACGATGGCCATCATGTAATGGCGTGTCTGCTGCTTCGGACGTGTACATGTACGTTCGACGTGCCCGCCGACACACAGCTGCCGCCCCGTACCGAAACGGTTCCGCCGAGGAACGTTGCTGCCGTTAGCCGCAAGGGACGCC